TTCTAGGCAAGATGCTACATATGATTGGGACCCCTCCCTTAGACTTAATGAAATCTATAGCTGACCTGTACTTATCTAGCAGCTCTTCTCTCCTACCCTTCCCAATATCATTTCCACCAGCACTGAGACAGATAATGGGCTTTACCCATTACCTGACATATTATCTAGCCTGTTAACTATGTCCCCAACACCAGCTCCAGGGAAGCACACTATCTCTCATCTTCTTATTCCTATTACAAAAAGCATGGTCAATATATCTTACCTGAGAGTCACAAACCACAAGAATGCGCTTACCTCTGTTAGCAGGGGCAGTAGTACCCTTACCTTCACTGACCACTGAAGTACATTCATCCTGAAGAACAGAGAAGCGATTTCCTACCTTCAGATCTTCACTCTTAACTTTCCTTATTCTGATTCTCCTCCCATTACTGGTTACCACTCGCCACTTGTAGCAGGTGCTGGACTGCACCTCACTGCTGGTAGCCGTTGCTACCTCCCCACCTACAGCCTCCTCACAGCGAGAGACAAACTGCACCTCACTGCTAGAAGCCTCATTCCCCACAACTCCTGTCACCTCACACTCTCTCCCAGACCCACTGAGGTGGACCTTCAGCCTCCTAATCTCCTCCTGGAGAAGCAAGACCTCCTCCTTCAACTCTCCAACCTCAATTTTTAAAACACTGATTTTTGAGAAGAGACTTGAATTTATAAACAGTGTTTCTTTTATATTCACAGGTAATAAATTCCAGATTTTAGGGCCTTTTATGTGCATTGAGTTTTTGTATAGCGAGGAACATCAAAGAGAGATCTGTGTCTTGTGTTATGGTCATGTGTTCTGTTGAGGTTGGTAAGGAGATGTTTGAGGGGAGGGTTTATGTCAGAGTTAAGTGTTCTATGTATGTAGTAGGTGCAGTAATAAGTATGGATGTTTTGTATTGTGAGTAGGTTTAGAGTTCTGAATATTGGTGGAGTGTGCTGTCTGTAGTGGGAATTTATCATTCTGACTGCAGCCTTTTGTTGGGTGATTAGTGGTCTGAGATGGTTTATTGTTGTTGAGCCCCATGCACAAATTCCATAGGTGAGATAGGGGTAAATAAGCGAGTGATATAGGGCCAGGAGGGCTGACTGTGGAACATAGTACCGTATCTTCGATAATATGCCTACGGTCTTGGAATTTTTTTTGGAAATTTGTTGTATGTGTGTTTGAAATTTGAGTCTATTATCAAGGTGGATTCCTAGGAATTTTCCCTCTGAGTTTTGTGATAGGTGATCCCTTTATCATTATGTTAAGAGACACATCTGTAGCTCTGTTACCAAACTGAATGTAGTAGGTTTTGTCAATGTTTAGAGTAAGTTTGTTGGTCCTCATCCAGGTTGATATTTTCTGTAATTCGATATTTATAGTATTGGCTAGCATGACTGGGCTCGGGTGAGAGTAGACGTATGTAGTGTCATCTGCAAATAGTGTGGGTTTGAGTAGTTGCGATGCATTTGGTAGGTCATTTATGTATATGAGAAAGAGAAGAGGGCCTAGGACACTTACCTGTGGGACACCAACTGTAATTGGCTGTGCGAAAGAGTGCCCCATTTGCGTACACATATTGGCTTCTGTTGCTGAGGTATGACTTTAGGTAGTTGAGGGAGTGCCCTCTTATACCGTAGTGCGACAATTTTATGTGGAGCAAGTCATGGTCAACTGTATCGAAAGCTTTACGTAAGTCAATGAAGATCCCCAGTGGGACTTCTTTTTTCTCTATTGCTGTATAAGTGTTCTAGCATGTGGATAATAGCATCATTAGTATTTTTATTAGGCCTGAACCCAAATTGACAGGGGTTGAGTATGTTGTGGGAGATGAGGTAGGAATAGATACGCTTATGGATTAATTTTTCAAAGATTTTAGAGAGAGGGTGTAAGTTGGATATTGGCCTATAGTTATTCAAGTCTGTGTGGTCTCCTCCTTTATGGATCGGGGTGACCCTTGCTATTTTGAGAACTGTAGGAAATGTCAAAAATCAACAAAGCAGAATCAGAACAACTGCATGTGGATTTCTCCTAGATAGTATTCTGGGTCCCTTATAAAATTGCTGTGTCCAGAATATCTTTCTGCCAATTTTGTCAAGGCTGGGAATCAAAGCAATCATAGTGCTAGGGGAGGAGAGCACTATGAAGCCTGGCCACAGTCAGTGGCCAAGCTTCAAACACCTTTTATTATACAGCAATAAAGGAATGGAACAAACTGCCTGCACATGTCAAAGACAGTCATATAAGAGAGTCAAAAAAGGTACCTAATGAATATAGCGACAGAATGGGAGGAGAATGATTGTTTCTTAGCTAAAACACATGTTAATATAAATAACTCATTTTACCTTATTCCTAGTATATTTCCTTTATAGTATAATAAGATATTATCTTCTTTATAGTATAATAACAAGGTATTAAAAGGACCCCAATGGAAATAAGTCACTGGCTTTTTTGGGTTATCCCAGGTTCTCTACACATATGCTACTATGTATGATAATCTACGTAACTGTATTTGTGTATACCTGAATAAACTTATGCTGTACATCTAATGGGCTTTACAAAAATTCACATTCGTATATAATATTTTTAAAGAATCTGAGTTCCCCAGGTGCTGTCTAACCTTGACATGTGTAGTTCTTCCCCGAGAGTGTAATAATAACAATGGTAATAATAAGGTGTTTGGACCAAAAACATTAAGTCATTAATGCAGCAATTTACCTATACACTACCATCGGAAATATTTTAATCCCTAGAAATAGGAATTAGAGGAAACTCGGTGAACATACAACGAAATATATACACCTTTTGTTGTATATACCCTCTACCTGTGACCATTAAAAATACAATGCTGCTGCTGGTACTATATGTTCTAGTGTTCAGTTCTTCTCCATTACGTTGTGCCTGTCGTTACTGCTCCTACTGTTAGTGTGGGAAATCCTGTGTCTGTATTATTGTTGCCGTTTTTTGCTTTATATCCCATACGAGTTTAGTGCTCCGCCTATGACAGTGTAAAAGCAATTTTGTGCTTTTGCTCTTATTTTTCCACACGAGTTTATAAACTAAGTTATTGCAGCTCAGCTCATATCAAAGTCCATGCAAGGTGAGGGGCTCTCGATCCAAGGAATATGAGCTATCCTCTAATTCCTTGATCTAATCTGATTACCTCCATTTCTCTAATGCTGTAATGATCCTATTGCTTGAGCATTATGTATGTAATAGTAATAATTACGAGCGTGTGAAAATATCGGTGATCATCAGCTAATTTTGATGGTATCAGTAAAAACTCTTAAAAATTGAGCATCAGTATAAGAAATTTTTTTATCGTCCCATCCTTAATAATAATAATAATAATAATAATAATAATAATAATAATAATAATAATAATAATAATAATAATAATAATAATAATAACAATAACAACAACAACAATAATAATAATAATAATAATAATAATTATTATTATTATTATTATTATATCCAAGGTATATCACCATCTGCTAGGATGACACCCACAATAGGTGACTAACCACAGGTACCTATTTACTGCTAGGTGAAGAGGGAGACTAAAATAACCTGCTAGTAGTCATCCACACACAATGTTCCATGTCAAACACACAAATTAAACAACGAATTTATGAGACAGATATTTTTTTCAAGAGTTTCTTAGCATGTTTAATTCAGTCAATGATATTTGTAATTTACAGGATGAATTTGAACAATAAACAATTTCGAAAAAAAAATACATTACTTAGCAAAGCCAGCATAAGTTGTACCATCATATACTCTTAAGAGAATTAACCACTTGGGGTAAATTTATCCCAAGGGGTAAATTTATCCCAAGGGGTAAATTTATCCCAAGGGGTAAATTTATCCCAAGGGGTAAATTTATCCCAAGGGGTAAATTTATCTCAAGGGGTTAATTTATTCCAAGGGGTAAATTTATCCCAAGGGGTAAATTTATCCCAAGGGGTAAATTTATCCCAAGGGGTAAATTTATTCCAAGGGGTAAATTTATCCCAAGGGGTAAATTTATCCCAAGGGGTAAATTTATTCCAAGGGGTAAATTTATCCCAAGGGGTAAATTTATCCCAAGGGGTAATTTATTCCAAGGGGTAAATTTATCCCAAGGGGTAAATTTATTCCAAGGGGTAAATTTATCCCAAGGGGTAAATTTATCCCAAGGGGTAAATTTATCCCAAGGGGTAAATTTTATCCCAAGGGGTAAATTTATCCCAAGGGGTAAATTTGTCCCAAGGGGTAAATTTATCCCAAGGGGTAAATTTATCCCAAGGGGTAAATTTATCCCAAGGGGTAAATTTATCCCAAGGGGTAAATTTATCCCAAGGGGTAAATTTATCCCAAGGGGTAAATTTATCCCAAGGGGTAATTTATCCCAAGGGGGTAAATTTATCCCAAGGGGAAAATTTATCCCAAGGGGTAAATTTATCCCAAGGGGTAAATTTATCCCATGGGGTAAATTTATCCCAAGGGGTAAATTTATCCCAAGGGGTAAATTGATCCCAAGGGGTAAATTGATCCCAAGGGGTAAATTTATCCCAAGGGGTAAATTTATCCCAAGGGGTAAATTTATCCCAAGGGGTAAATTTATCCCAAGGGGTAAATTTATTCTAAGGGGTAAATTTACCCCTTAGCGTAAAAAATTACATGGCAAAGGGGTAAATATTTGTGTTATTTTTGCGCAAAACCTGAAAAATTCTATTTTTCTGGCCTTCTTTTACCTACTCTTCATGGCGATAAATTTTGTGTATGGAAGTAAGGGAGGTAAATGGAGAAATACATCAAGCTGAGAGTGTTAATGATGGAGGAAGAGGCTGAGAATCTCTGAAGAGGGAGAAGCTTGGTAAGTTAGGGATTCAGCCTAATGTAATGGGAGTCCTTGCTTATTAAGTTAGGGGAATAAACGCCACGTACAGTGCTTCCTTGCTTAGTCGGAAACAACATCATGCACTGTGCTTACTAAGTTAGGGGAATCCACATCATGTAGGGAAGGTGCTTGGTAGACCAGGGCAGTGAAGGCTTTCTGTCCTCGTGGCTGCTGGTGGTGGGCGTGAGTGGGCGGCGAGGGCGGAGCCGGGGGTGGTGGGCTGCCCCCACCCATCTGGAAGGTCGCCGTGGCATAGGGATACAGATCTTCCTCACTGTACTCCCCTGTAACACCAGTGAATCAGTCAGAAGATACGGAATTAACCAGTCATTTGGAAAAATAATAAATTGGTCAGTCAACTGAGTTTATGAACTGGAATTTATCAACTGGAAGGTAATGTAATTCATCAATCATTTAGACACACAACTCTTCAGTCAACCAACCGGAAAAAATCGAATTAACGAATTTTTTTCTATGGGGGGGGGGGAGGTGAATTTCGGGGGTTCATGGTTAGCTGAAATAATATAAGATTCTTCAAACAAATAATTCATACCTATTTAAAGTCGTTTGATATAAGCGATTTTTCATAAATGTGCGAGAAATGATTACCAGGATGAGCTGATTTGTAGCGCTGTGAACCCTTACTGATTTAGCGTTTGATAATAATAATAATAATAATAATAATAATAATAATAATAATAATAATAATAATAATAATAATAATAATAATACTAATAATAATAATAATAATAATAATAATAATAATAATAATAAGTAGTAGGTTGGTAGACAGCAACCACCCAGGGAGGTACTACCGTCCTGCCAAGTGAGTGTAAAACGGAAGCCTGTAATTGTTTTACATGATGGTAGGATTGCTGGTGTCTTTTGTCTGTCTCATAAACATGCTAGATTTAAGGTACGTCTTGCTACTTCTACTTACACTTAGGTCACACTACACATACATGTACAAGCATATATATACACACCCCTCTGGGTTTTCTGCTATTTTCTTTCTAGTTCTTGTTCTTGTTCATTTCCTCTTACCTCCATGGGGAAGTGGAACAGAATTCTTCCTCCGTAAGCCATACGTGTTGTAAGAGGCTACTAAAATGCCGGGAGCAAGGGGCTAGTAACACCTTCTCCTGTATATATTACTAAATTTAAAAATAGAAACTTTCGTTTTTCTTTTTGGGCCACCCTGCCTTGGTGGGATACGGCTGGTTTGTTGAAATAATAATAATAATAATAATAATAATAATAATAATAATAATAATAATAATAATAATAATAATAATCATATGTAACGAGACTTATAAGAATTATTCTCAAAGATACGAGACGAGTGAGATTAATAAATTCAGGACCAACATCCTGAGGTGCCTGCATGCTGAGGGGCTCTTGATCCAAAGAACTGGAACTACCCTTCACCTTCTTTTGATTAAGCTTAATCCCTCACATTCACAGGCGTTGTGTGACACCCTAACGGGTTTAGCACTAACCTATGATTATTGTAATTAATAATAATAACTATTATACATTTATGAGTAATGTTCGATGTTTAATAATAAAGTTGATAAATAATTGATAATAAAATTTAAGGATAAAATAAAAGCTGAAAATAACTTTAATAGAAGCTGGACTGAAGCTTTAAGCTTCCGCCACTCATGTTGAATGATCCTCACGGACGGTGGATCAAGCTTCCGCCACTCCTGGTGTTGAATGATCCTCACGGACGGTGGATCAAGCTTCCGCCACTCCTGGTGTTGAATGATCCTCACGGACGGTGGATCAAGCTTCCGCCACTCCTCGTGTTGAATGATCCTCACGGACGGTGGATCAAGCTTCCGCCACTCCTGGTGTTGAATGATCCTCACGGACGGTGGATCAAGCTTCCGCCACTCCTGGTGTTGAATGATCCTCACGGACGGTGGATCAAGCTTCCGCCACTCCTGGTGTTGAATGATCCTCACGGACGGTGGATCAAGCTTCCGCCACTCCTGGTGTTGAATGATCCTCACGGACGGTGGATCAAGCTTCCGCCACTCCTGGTGTTGAATGATCCTCACGGACGGTGGATCAAGCTTCCGCCACTCCTGGTGTTGAATGATCCTCACGGACGGTGGATCAAGCTTCCGCCACTCCTCGTGTTGAATGATCCTCACGGACGGTGGATCAAGCTTCCGCCACTCCTGGTGTTGAATGATCCTCACGGACGGTGGATCAAGCTTCCGCCACTCCTGGTGTTGAATGATCCTCACGGACGGTGGATCAAGCTTCCGCCACTCCTGGTGTTAAATGATCCACACGGGCTTAGAGCTTCCCATAAATATAATAAAAATAGTTAAAGTTAGAAGAGAAAAAATGCCACATTACCCGTGTTGTTGCTGACGTCTTGGTGTTGAGGCGGTGTTGGCGCGGGTCTCCTGACGGTGGTGTAGACGTCGTCCCGTGCCTGCATGGCAGTCTTCTCCTCTGTGGCACTACTGACACCATCAGGCACCTCCTTCTGTGCTGGGGTGCTGGAGGGACCTGCCGGATGTGTGTTTTATTCAATGGGGAGTGTTAAACCCGAAGGGGTCATAAAACGCTTTGAGAATGGATAATGGTCGGCAAGCAGAATCAGTCCGAGAACAAGGAGGATGACTCCAAGTCCTGAGATCAAGAGCCCTTCATCACCATCAAGATATCTTGATGGAAATGTGTGGAATTAATGTTAAGCGCTAAAACCATGTGGGTCATTCAGCGCAAAACGTGGTGTTGGCTTGATCCTCCATCTGCTGAGCGCGAAACAGATGGAGATGGAGGAGGGCAGCCATGATAGAGAGAGAGATTTTTGTTCCGATTTTTAACCCCGGAGGGTTAGCCACCCAGGATAACCCAAGAAAGTCAGTGCGTCATCGAGGACTGTCTAACTTATTTCCATTGGGGTCCTTAATCTTGTCCCCCAGGATGCGACCCACACCAGTCGACTAACACCCAGGTACCTATTTGCTGCTAGGTGAACAGGACAATAGGTGTAAGGAAACGTGTCGGAATTTCCACCCGCCGGGAATCGAACCCGGGCCCTCCGTGTGTGAAGCGGGAGCTTTAGCCACCAGACCACCAGCTTGATGCTGGTGAAAAGCTCTTGATCCAAGAAATGGAAGCTATCCTCCCTAGATAAGATCAAACCTAGTATCCCAGGAGCTGCATCATCTTACCGGCTCAGTACTCTCTGATTCTGATATAATAATATATACTAATAATAATAATTTGCAATTAGTACGTTTACTTACGTTTCCTGAGACAGATGCAGACGGTAGTGACTGTGAGCAGGAGTGCCAAGGCGGAGACAGCAGCTGGCACCATCACCCGAGGGTCACGCCACACTGGTGACGTTGATGGGGCACTGCCCCACACAGTGCCACCCACGCCCACACCTGGCCCTGCAGTTTAGACTTTATTACGTGCTGCAAAAACAACTCAAAAAACCAGGACATCAACAAAATTTCTCGTATTAAGGAGGATGCCTTGTTTCTGACAAAGGTTCCTTGATACGAGGAATCAGAGCTAACCTCACCTTCCTCGCATCAAACTTGATTACTTTCCCTTCCGAATATACTAAAAAGAATTGCAAGTCGAGGATATTCTCAATACTTAGAAATGAGATAAACAATGGTAGGAGCCTTGTGTAGGTTACCTGTGTGCCCCAGGCCAGGTGTAGTGACGGTGTAGTGGGCAGGGGTGGCACCTGCGGCGTTGTGTGCGGTCACCCGCAGTTCGTAGCGGGCACCTGCGTCCAGCCCGCCCACGGCGAAGGTGCGGGAAGGTGGCACCTCACTGCCAACTGTGATGGGGGGGGAAGTTCATGGAAGGTGGCCCCTGCACATGCAGTGTCATGTGAAGGTGGCACATTACTGTCAAATGCTAAAAATTCAAATGAATATTTGGAAAACTTACTCTCAAAACTTTATACATAATATAATTCCCAAATAACTTTTTCCCCCAGGGGGTTTTCCCTTTTTAAAAGGGGCTCTAAAGGGGCTGTTTTGATGCACGTGAACTTGACAATAACGGGGCAATCTTCCCCTTACGGGGTCGAATTGATTACTTTTTAAGTTCAAAGGCGCATATACCCTTACGTTTTTAGGCTTCCGGTGAGGTACAACAAGAACGGCACTCCTACATCTTCGCAGTTCCCGCTCCTAAAACACTTTAATGGCCAGCGCTTGTATGCCAACGCCCCACATGGAACCAGTAACGACCCAAAATGAAGCTGCTAAAGATGTAAAAAGTACCAAAACACGACTAAGGGACTGCCCGGCATACAAACACCGCCTGCTGCCAACGTAATACCAGCTAAGAAAACATTACCACTCAGTACTCCATTCAACCCCATAGTGATCTCATGGATACAAGAATAGAAAAAGCAACACCAAGACAGAACAAAACCACCTAGAAAACTGTTACTCAAATGTCTGCCCTGAAGGACGCCAGCGCATCTGCACCCCCCCCTCACCCCCGCCCAGACCAACACAACAACAATGGCAAGATTGAACACTTAGCGCATAGGGAATCTTTATTCAGGAAACGTTTCGCCACACAGTGGCTTCATCCCCAATACAAAGGGGAAGGGTAAGGAAGGGGAAAAGGGGAAATCAGTCCCCAAACCGGGATCATGTTCCAGTCCATAAAATCTTTAGAATGTCCATAGGCCGAAACGTGGCTTATATACTGTAGTGAGGTGAGGTAACGGGCGGAGGGGGGGTCTGTGGACCACCACTATCAAATAGGTCTTCGCCCAAAGGGTTAAACAAGGTTGAAGAATTCTTTGTAACAAACCCCCATGATGCTGCAGTGTTGACATTGTGATGAATGGTTTGAAAAACCCGGGTTTTTCAAACCATTCATCACAACAACAAGGGCGGACGTCCCAAAACTTTTCCGGATACTTCAACATTCATCCTCATCCGTGACTCGCACCCAAGCTGACTTGTCTACGTTAAAAAAAACACCCAAATCTCTTCACCCAAACGGCAACATAGATTCAATCGTCAACACCCAAAGGTACAGCCCGGAATTCAGTCCTCAACAACGACCCGACTCCTTGATAAAATTCTACAGGAAAATAGTATGCTAAGACGGGAAAACGAAACCATGAAAAACACTTTGGGGGGCCTAGCCCCGCTCTCTTATCCCCAAAACACGAGTATTAAAGACCTAGAATCCCATCTTACAAAAAAACTTAAAGATAGTGAACTAGACAACAAACTGACATCTTTAAAATAAACTCGTCTAAAAACATACAAACCTACATTCAACTATAAAAACAATACTAAACAAAAAAATTTCCCGCCCCCCAAGCTGTCAGAAGCACGCAAGACGGAAATAAAATGAAACCCCCAGTGGAATGCATGCTTCCAGTATCAAAAGGATATGATTTAACAAGCAACCCTAGATCGTCATTTTAACCGGCTCTACCTTTACCACCAATCAAACATGAGAATTGCACAATAAAAAGCACTCCAGCTAATAAAATGATAAAACTTAACAGTGAAACCAGCGCTTCCCCAAGAAAAACCCATTTTAGAAACTATTACCGCCCTCCTACCCGGACTAGTTCTTAAAAGACTTTTCCAAGTCTTGTCCGGTTTTGAAAAAATTGCGAGACAATAATCGGGGCGACTTCATATCTGTTTCAGCACAAAATAACGGCTATGCAAAGGTAAAAGCAAATTCATTTTTAAATATTTACACTCAACAAATTAATACACCCCCCGGGATCACGCAGTTCCAGCCACCCTAATTGCCCACAACTTTGTAACCGCTCTGAGAACATTAGTCAGTCAGGCGTCATTTCCCCAGGGCCTTTTGACCTTTTTTTTTATTTTTCTGCACCAGGAAAATCACGGGATAAGATAGGCCTAAAAAAAAAGACAATAAAAATAGGGCAACTAAAACTACAGTAAAGAAAAACTGGTAAATAGGCTACACAATTGGACTGGGCGAGTAAAAGTTGCCGGGGCGTAAACGTCTGGGAAACATTCAAAACAATGCCACTACCCTCCTTGATAAAATTGTACCAGTTAAAGAGGTTAGGATTAAACAAGAAATGAAACCCTGGATGAATACTGAGATAAGATAAAATAAATTCAGAGACCCGGGGTGCAAAAAGTTTAAACAAACAGACAGGATATTGCATCCCTAAATGAATTCCAAAGGGGGGGAACAGAGTACAAGACTTAAAAAAAGGAGCAAAGGCAAAAAATGTTCTCAAAAAATGAAGAGTAAACAAACCCCCGAAAACCTGGCAGCAACTAAACAGTTTTGGGGGATAGCCCCAAAGGCCCGAGATAGGGTTTAACAAGTACTCACTTCGATAAGGGAAAGCCACAAAAATTTGGGGCAAATTGCTTTAATTCCCACTACACAACTGTTGCATCAACATTAGTAAATAAACTACCAGCGCAAAAAAAACCTTTAACACAACTCTGATAAGTTTCAAACAACTTACCGATAAAGGGGGAACCCAAACAGTTGCAACTAGTAATGTTCTCATGACTTTATTCAAAAAGAACTAAGCAGGGGTTTAAACCCCCTAAACCAGGCCCTGATAAAAATCCCGTCTAAGTTTCCCCAAAGATGGTGCTTCTGAACTGTCAAACCTATTGTCACATAATAAATCTATCAATCACCCCTAATACCGCCGGGGGGGTTCAAGGAGGCCAAGTTACTCCTATCTTCAAGAAAAATAGTAGGTCTATGTCAGCAACTATAGGCCCGTTAGTATACTCATAATTAATATCTAAAATTTTTAGAGGGCGGTAACTCTCAAGTAGTTAAGTACCTTATAAGAAAAAAACTTCTCCATTTAAACAGGGGTTTGAAGATCCATTCAACCCCACACCCCCTAATTTAAACTGATGGATTTTCCTGAGAAATGAAATTTAAAGGGGAACCTCATAGGGATGGGGAATTGCCCGCCAAAAGGCCTTTGATAAAGTCAAACAATATTTATGTAAGAAATTCAAGTATGGGAAGGGTTTTGTAGACTGGTTTAATCCACCTAACAACACGAGAAAAATCAAAAACACAAAAAAGGAATCAGAACCCCCCGCCGATAAATGTGGGGTTCCCCCAAAGGGAGTATTTGGTCCCTTATTTTTCTTATGTTATGTCAATGACGCCTATCATGTCAAGTGCAAACTCCCACTTATCGATGAGTGCCCTGTTAGTGTCAGGTAAAAACCCACAAGATATACTAAAGTTTTAAAACTGGGGAAATGGAGTCCTGCAGCAATGGGTTTGTAGACACAAAACTATCATTCACCCCGGGGAAAAATGAACCATTCTCTTTTTGGGACGAAACCAAAATGGAAGGGTAAATAATTTTAAGTCCATTTTAATGGGGAAAACCCCTCACTTTGGTTTCAACATAAAATACTGGGAATCCCCTTTTTACCCCCTATGTAGGAAAAAATTTATAGGGGAAAATTGGTAAAAAAAGCGAATGCCAACTGAAGTTCCGTATAGACAAGCACAGTGTCACTACTGAGCTCGCAGGACCCCATGTCAGCCCCTTATACAAACCATATGGATTCGCTTGCTCTTTATGTACTCTGCCTTTTACAAAAAAAATGAAAGATAGATGCAAATCACCCAGAATAAAATCGAAAAAATTTATCCCGGACTGGGACCCAAAAAACTGTAGGGCCGGATAATTTACAGCAGTTGGGTATGCTGAATTTTGAAAACAAGTAAAACAAAACTGAACTAATTGTTTATAAAATTTTTCAGTGTCCGAATATCTTGCTTTTAATTTTGTCAAGGTTGGGAACCAAAGCAATCATAGTACTAGGGGGAGAGAGCACAACTTCGTAGTACCCACAGTCGTTGGCCAGGCTTCAAACACCTTTTATTGTACAGCAATAAAGGAATGGAACAGACTACCCGCACATGTCAAAGCCAGTTCAAGAAGAGTGCCAAAAGGTGTCTGATGAATGTAGCTGCAGAAAGGGAGAGGAATGATTTTCTATTTTTTTAGCTAACATACGTGTAAATTTTACCTTATTCCTAGTAATGACTCTCGTATTGTAGATAGTCTTAATGACCTTGGTGTAGTAGATAGTCTTTTTAGTATGATAATAAGATGTTATCTTCATTATAGAATAATAAGAAAATATTATAACTTTCATATTATAATAATTAAGGTAAAAGGACCCCAGTGGAAATAAATCACTCTGTCTGACTTTTTGGGTTATCCCAGGTTCTCTACACATATGCTGCTATGTATGATAATTCTATGTAACTGTATTTGTGTACACCTGAATAAACTTACTTGCTATCAAGGAGGCTCGACTGCTAGGCAGGCCGGGTCAACAGCAAAGTGTTATGTTAAAATTCAATTCCATTAATGTAAAAAATGACCTAATAAGTTCCTCCATCAAGAAAAGGAATAATGTGTATGCAAATGAGTGCTCAACTTAAAAACGGCAGAACCTATTATATAGACTTAGAAAACTTAAGCGTGATAATGCAACAATAAAACAGTGCTTTACTGGTGATGGCATTATCATGGTAAAGTTATCAGACGCGGGTCGTGGGTTAGAAATAACAAATGATCAAGAACTAGCATGTTTCCTCTCATTCACTGGTGTGACTGAACCTTGTTAAGTCATATCTCAACACATTATCAACCATGTTCACTGCTGTAGTTTAGTAGAATTTACCCTTATTTTAATCCATATTTTCATATCTGTTAGTAAATAACGGAAATTAATTTCCAGCTACTTAAGACACCTAAGGCGCTATTAAGGTGCTGCTCCAGGTGCTTAAGTGCTTTATTCTCTGTTTTATTTTATACTCGAAACCATTACTTTTAACTTTAAAATAATAAAGGTGCTAAAGTGTTTTATTTTAATATTCAGTAGCTCCATTATTTTTAGATTTAAAATAATTATCTTAGTTCATAAGTTCATATTTGTTAATGGTTTAACATCAATTGCATTTGTCTTTTTTCTTTTTTAATAATTGTGACAGCTATTTCTCTACGTACCCTTTATGAATGAAATTATCGAACCTGATATCAACCTCTTATTGAACAGCACACATAATCCTAACAGTAATTACCATTACTACACTGCTAGTCAGACTAACACCCTTCTCAGTGTCAGCAAGAACATTACAGTCTTCAACTACAATGTTAGATCATTGAGTAAACACTGTGATGACCTCATTGCACTACTTAAGTCTCTAAATGCTACTATAACTTTCATTATACTTACTGAAACCTTGCTCAGACAAGATTTGACAGACATATTTACCATACCTGGTTACACAGCCACGGAGGCGGCGGCAGCGGCAGCAACGGTATCCTACCAGCTCTTCTTTCTCAAAAAA